GCACGCGCGCGCGCGCGTGTGTGTGTGGTCGAGCGCGCGCCTCTCTCTCTCTCTCTCTCTCTCTCTCTCTCTCTCTCTCTCTCTCTTTCTTCTCGCTCTTTCTCCCTAGATATTTATTTTTTTTTCTACCCTACGTAAATCGCGCGCACACGCGGACATCGTGAGCGAGACGAATGGACCGTGCACGCGTGTCACGACACTCCCCGTGGAATATCCGTGCATAAGATATCACGGTATATGCCCCCTCCGCCCGCCGTCGTCTGTATCAAGGCTCTCGAACAGCTCTCTTAGATCATTCCGCGTGCCTCGCACACTCAGGGCCTTTCCCTTTAATTACAGAAAGTGGCTCAGTTTACGGTGGACGATTTATTTTGATTCAAGGATTGCATAGCTATCACGCGAGTAATTATTCACGGCCGCGATAGAAGGAGATCGTGCGGGAATTATGGCTATACGAGCTATCTTTAACAGAATCTATTATTGTAATTTAATTACAGCCAGGTATTCGCGCTGAGCAATCTTTCTTGCGTACCTGCAGCGAAACGGCCAATCGTGAATTATTCGTACTTGACGTAATTAATTTGACAATACTTTTTGTGTAAAATCAATTGCGGCGATACTTCTTTTTATGAAGATTCCGTTCAGCAAACTTTCGCCCTCGCGAGCAACGGGGGCTGGTTGCGCTCTCTCGGGAAGGGTAGACAAATGACGAATGGCATTTCCGATTTTCTTCAAGCGGGCGCACGCGAGCTTTTTCATACTGAACGCGGTAGTTCTGGCATTCGTTCTAATTGACGGTAACTTAATGAACGATGCGGCTGAATCGAGGACGTAGACGCGCGATTGTCGAGGGTTGGTTTCGAGAGACGGGACGCCGTTTGGCCTCGTAATCGCTTCTCGAGGGTGGCGATGACGTGACATCTATCCGTCGCGTACGAGCTGCCAGGGATAAAACGTGTTTTCACCGTTCTACCTACGCGACGGGTAGTAATTGACAGAAGTGCCTCGTTCTCTCGTCGAAAAGCCACCCTTTTCTTTCACTGCCGCGCGCGCCGCCCTTTTCTCCCACGATAAATCAACTGCGTCCGGGCTAAACGCGTTCACGTCTCTCGGAATTGCTCTCCAAACTCTCGTCCGGTAGATCGAAACGGTCGATATCGTTAAACAAATCTAGATTGATTTGTGGTGTGCTGCAAATGTATTTTATGACGCGAGACAAGAGTTATGGCGTAAGGCATGAGTAGAATTAAAACGAAAAGTATCAATACCATCGATTCCAACAAATCACGAAAATACAATCATGTAGCAATCGATATTTAATTTTATTATTATAGATAAAAATGGATTTTATCTTTTGCTACACTGTTAAATCTATAGTGTCACCTTATTTAATTCGCCACTGCTTACTTAATAAATAGTTATTTTTAATTAAAACGATGGAGTTAAATAATTTAAAACAGTTAAATTTAAAACAGTTCAAATTTAATCCAAATTTGGGTTAAATTCTATTGTTTTATTTAAAAATAATTATATTGTTATAAATAAGGTTCAGTTAAATAAGGTTCAGTTTGAGACTACAGATTTAACAGTGTACGGTAACATATACTAACATTACTATATTTGATAAAACGGCAACAAAAATAAAACAGTAGAGAGTTCATTCTATATCTAATCATGAATATGCAATTTTTTTTTAAAGAGAATTTTAATCCGCTGTATCGATTGAATGTGACCATTGTCAGTATTCGCATCTGCAGTGTTACACGTTTTTCGATGAGAATTCGCGAAATAAATCGCAGATTTCGATCCTTCTCGTTCGATAGTACACGAAAAAGAGAGAGAAAGACCGACAGAGTGGCGCAGGGGAGAGACTCGAGTGATTTCCTGCAGCTGTAAGCGTTTGCTTAATATCCAGTCTCGGATTCCCGTAATAGCGTAAAAATGTTTGCCCAAGAGGCGTCTGCTCTCCTCTCGAATCGTGCGCCCTTCTCGAATCCAGAAAGAACAGAATCATGGGCGCCGACATGGTTTCTCTCCGAGCGAGTGGCGCATGAGAAAACTTTTCTTGCGAGGAGCTTAGAAACTTTTCCACTTATATTTATCAATTAAAGAGACAACTATATAGGCAATATTAACTTTCGACATGCATGTTGCATTTGGCCGCCAATGAATTTCCGTACTTTACTCGTTAAAACGACTTCGCGGGGGTTCCCCAGCCCACCCCCATCGGCGTGCTCCTAATGAGTTTATCAGGTAGTTTGCATTCCTAAGGCTGCAGGTTACAAGTTTCTCCGTTAATTTTTCACGCGGGCTTGATTCTCCTCCGGTCCTGAAACAGTCAAGGAGACTGGCGCCGCGCTTCTCTGCGACGCCCATGAGAGATCGCGTGAATTACGATCCGTCAACCTTCTTCCGTATTTTCCGCGTGTCTCGTCACGGGGACGGCGAAGGGGGAGCGTGTACGAGAGCGTGCACGCCGTGTGATCGGAGCGTACGCGCCGTGTTTCTGTGTACCGAGAGCAAACTTCGATTCTGAAGAGACGACGAGAGGCGACGCGGCACCATCGCCATTGTTGCTGTCGATGAAAAGGAAGTCGTATAACACGAGGGAATCCTATCGTCCGACACCAGGAAGGAAACGCCCGTGGCTTTTAAAGGGACGGGAGGGTGTTTCCCGCCTCCGCTTCCTCCCCCTCCCCTCGATTTATACCGAAATTATGCCGCGATTTTGTATTATCGGACAGCACCGGGGAGAATATTAAAGGACGAAGGCGGGCTGATTTATCCCGGAATTATTCCCGTCCTCGTATTATTCGCGTCCTCTTGTGTTATTCCAGCGAGCGAGCCCGCCCGGTTGATTCGGCTGGATGCGCGTGAGCGATGAAAAATGTGCGGCCATGCGAAAAGTACGATGATAAACGCGGCATGAAGCGTACAGAAAAGGGTCAGCGCCGCCGATCGCGGCTTCGGTGATTAATCGTGGCGCCCGGATTTTCGAGATAGGTTTCAATATCGCGGATCAGTCGAGCGTATGTCGTGGACGCTAATAAGTTTAGACGTTTCTTATCGATCCTCTCACACGCGCTGCCTGCAGTTTTTGCCTGAAAGTTATAATTTAGAGCGCGGGCATTAAACAATCTCGTTGCTCATGCGACGCGATACTTAAATAAGTAGACTGAAATAAAAAAAATGTCGGCAACTGTAAAATTCTGTATTTAATAAAAAAAAATTGATTGTATCTTTTTAGTTATTTTAATATTATAAATATTAATTAAAGTAAGCTATTTTAGTGACTTTTATCTATTAACGCGTTCGAGCAATCTATATTGCTGTTAAAAGCGCTCACTCTTTGATCATATCGAAAATTCGCTCGATTTCGAGCCGTTTCGTTATTTTGGCCAGTGTAACAAAGTTAGTTTCATTATCATAATAGCACAGATTCACCGCGTGGCGAATATTATTTTTAAATTGGGAGAAAACACGTTAAGCAAATATTACCGAAACGTAGTTACGCCGCGTACGTTTCCGCGTAACCAAAAGTACACGTTTCCAACCGATATCCATTGGTGCATAAGCCACGAAATTAGTCACGTGTCGCTAAGCACTCGAAGCAACGATCGTGTAATTTTTATGGGAATTTTCCGATGGATCTTTTACACGATTGAACCCGTACGGTTTTACTTCGCATCGTATCGGACGGTCGATTAAAACAGCGCATTTTCAAATTTTCCACAGATATATCTGCTTTCATTTTAAATTTAAATATACGGGAACAGCAGTATAATTCGTTAT